TTCGACCTGTTTGTAGCACCATTTTTTGTACATCAAAAAGATGCTTCAGATTCGAGATGAAGAATGGTTTCTGTTGGTTCAAATCACTTACTAGTCAGATCAATCACATCAACATCAACTCGGCTCTTCTTCCAACTCGGGCATGCACATAATTGATTGAAGTCGCTGTTCCATGTCGCTTCATCCCCCCATTGACGTGTCTTGAGAGAACACATCATGAAAGAATTGAATAGATCTGGAATTATCTTTTTCCAGTTAGCTTCACTAGTAAGGGTATGTTCTTGATAAGTTACACTCTTGAAGTATGCTGATCGTAGACCAGGTGGATGAATCTCCGTCCCATTGTTGACCGGAGCAATATCATCAACTACACCTGTCAGTTGAAGATCGTGGTAAAACTCCTGTGGCTGATCGTCCTCATCGACACTATCCCTGTCATTGGGGATGGGGGGAGTCGGAATGGACGTTTGCTCCAAACGAGCATTCTTAGATTGTGAGGCTGCCTCTTCGCGCTCTAGAAGCCGAGCCAGTCTTTCGCTAGCACTACCAGGTGGAGGCCTGGCAGGGGCTGAATTTTCTCGCTGACGTTTGTTGGAGTCTGGAATGAGAGATCCGGGTAGTACCATGTTTTAAAATCGAATTACGAAGTGAGGGTCTTCAAAATCGAGGACTTGACTGAGAGATATCCAGAAGGATGGTTTAAACAGATTTGTTTAAACCTACTAGGAAAATCACTAAGCAAATAGCTTTGTGATAGCTTATCTTGTGCTGACACCTGCCATTTAATGAAAGTCTTGGCCGATTGAAAATGATAGACACTAGATTGGCTCTGCTATTGTTCACCCAAAATGTCTTGTGTTGAGACATTCCAAAAGCTCAATTAAGCAGAGATAGACAAAAAGGTTTGTCTATCTCTGCATTTCTGAAGTTGATGTGCATGAAAATCTAACACTGATATTGATCAGCATCATTGGTTGTTGTACACCGATAATCAGGGCCCTTGATGGCATTTGATTGTCTAGCGAAGCGGAAAGGTTAACACACGATAAAAGAACACACAAGTTATAGCACGACTGTGCTGCGCGAACAATCTATCATTGGCTAAGATTTTCATTATATATTCCAAGTGTGGCTTTTGAAGAGCTTGAAAAGATATAAGCAGAGTAACTATTGTAGACAGTCTATTCAAAGAGAAATTATGTTGATATTATAAAACTTTTGATGACCTGGTGAGTTATAACAATTATCTATGGGATGACTTCGAAGAGTTTGAGAGGCAGCTACACCAAGGTGGATTATTTTTCCATATGAGTCATTGTTATCCTTGCAATCACAATGAGGATTGGCTATTGCTGACGTGACCCCAAAAAAATAACAATTTTTTTGTTTAGCCAAACTCAAAGGGATATACTCCCCCATCATGAATCAAGTTGTTTTTTTTATGATTTTTCTTGAAAACTGAAAATCCTCCCCTTATGCAATGTGGTCCAACAAAAACCCCAAAATATCACTAATGTGGCCATAAGTGATACTTGTGTTTGATTGATGACCTCAAACAAGTTGGTTTTTTCAAATACCTATGGTATAGAAATATTCTCAAGCTTGAAATTTTGGGTTTGCACAAGTATTATATAAAATTTACTTATGAAGGGTGTTTCCACAAATCTGAAAAATAGTGCAACACAGGCAATGCTTTTGGCCAATACTAGTCCTTGGGTTGGTATGAGGACTATCGAGTATATCAATTATCATTAACAAACAACCTAACAATGTGATAAAGCTGCAACATTTTTGTTTGTGAATGGTATTGAAAAATTACATGGTGGCTCAGTGCTTAATCTCTACACTTGCAGATCAAGATTGAACATTGCTATTTCCTGATACTTTGAAACTGAAAGACCTTTACAATATTATTATATGTCTGAGACAAACCATTTCCAAAAATCATATTGACAAATCCTGACTCATCTCAGACTCCATCTCCTTGAAAATGTATATTAAATGAATTGCTTACAAAATTTTTATAACACTACAGCTGTGAGATATGTCAACGGGTTTGGGGGTAAATCAGTGAGCATGAATTACCTACCAGCTCCTATGATCCCTCTTCAAATGACACCAAGTGAGTGGGTTTCTATCAAGGCTTGGTGTTCTACAAGGTTACTTTATGCTTATCCCCATCCATCTTAATACATCAGTAAGTTGTGAAAGGTGAAAAAATGATTTGAAGTACGTACTATGTAGCTGAAATAAGTGATCAAGATTAAATTAAATCTAAGGTAGTGCGTATTTAAATACAATCCATTTTAAAAGTGACTTTTAATTCAAATTGAATTTAAATGTAGTTTATGTGTGTAGAGTTTAGGTTATCTGGTCCGACACCCTCCCAAGTTGATTCAACTCATTCCCAAATTACTCACATTTCCAACAATCAAGCCGTCAATCTTCCTTCCTTCCACCCTGCTTCAAACCACCAATGCCTTCCACCACTCGTGCCAGCCAATCAAAAACCAACCGTTCCTCTGTACGCTCTTCTAACAAAAGCAAGAAGAAAACTCCTCGGAACAAAAAGACCACCTCCAAAACCACTACAGGTGATTCAGCTACAGACAGATTCGATGCTGACAACAATCACAATCCAGACGAAAACGAGGACAATGAATTTCATGATGAAACCAATCAGCAAACCTCTGGGACAGCACCAAAATCAAAATCCAAGCCGTCTATCTTTCAGTCTCGTTTCCCCGATCTTGAACTTGACACCTTTGAACAGCAACTCAATTCTTGGACTATAGTGAAACTTCAGGAAGCAATACTTCAACAAGACTCACGCCGTAGTACTGCTCCAAAAGAGATAAAGGATCTTGTCAAAGTCGTTCGAATGGAATTTGAAAAACGTATCCTCATGATTGCCCTGATGGCTGGGGTTCCGGAGATCGTTATCTGGAACTTAGTGTAAGTCCAATGCATACTCACAAGTCCTAACCTCCTTACAGTATGCAAGCTGATCAACCACCTTGTATACGTCAGTGGCATTGGGAAGAAGAAAGTTAAGGCTAACCCTTGGATTCGATTTCTCACCTTCTGTGTGAAATGTTTGGGGCAGCAACGTAAGTGATAGATGAATAACATTGACAAAACCAATACTAATCATTGCTTCATCTAGTGCCTGATCGCGATGATAAAGATGCTTGGACCAAACAAAATCAGGAGATGGCCGATATTTGGCATTCACTGAGCAAGGACCAACAGTCTGTGTTCAAAGATCCCTACTTTTTTGCATTGGCCAACCTTCCCGACTACTCGAATGCCTCTCTAGGTGAACATGACGAGCACAACAACGATGTAAACGAAAACAAAAACGAAAACGGAGTGAACTTAACCAACTTCGACACCGTTACGCCTAGCCCAACAATTCACAAACTTTCTGAGGAAGACAAAGCAAAATATCAGCCACTTTTCAAAGACCTAGTAAATGTCGAGAAAGTGCATCTCTGCCATGGTAAACCGGAATCCTCCCCTTCAATTGCAACCTTACAAAAACGATCTTTGATTGCTGTTCGAAAGGCTCATCATGATGTAAGGTTTTTTTTCTGTGCCTTTCATCTGCACCTAATTACGAAGTTCAACACCTTCTTACCTCATGTTTTTGGTTGTAGTTCTCGGTTGTCTGTCAACAAAATCAAATATCATACTATCTAACTAGTGCAAGTTGTGGTGGTCTCAACGGATGGTCGCAAACGTTTTCAAACAACGTGAAATTTGCTGAATGGGCATTGGACGTAAAACATATTCCTGACAAGTTTCGTACTTACGTACATGGATTAGATGCTGCCAAAGAGATCGAGGGGAAAGTCCCACAAGCGAGTGACCGTAGAAAAAGTCAACTGGGGCGTATGCTAAATGCATTGTTAAGTGAGTTGTTTTGATATATCTGACTCAATTGCTTGAATCACGACAATCTGACTTCATTAATGAATCAGAGCCTTATGGTCATGACACATTCCCAAAGCTCGATGATCCTGCTCAAAGAATGAACAGGAAAGGCTGGGAACTCAAAATTGTTCAGAAGCCCGGCAGTCTTCTCAAACCGGAGGAACTTCTTCGTGGACACCGAGGTGTAACGGATGCAATGGTTCAGGCCTGGATTAAGGACATCGAGAACGGGCTTTTTTTGATTGAAACAAAGGTTGCTGAAGATGGCGAGACATCTCAAAACGATCATCAAGACGAATCGCAGCAATCAGGAGGTCCTATGCAAGAACAACGCTCAAAACAAAAGAAAAAAAGGAGCGGTAAACATCAAAAATCAAAAGAGCCAACTCAAAAGCGACACAAAACAAATAAACAACCACTTGAGGCAGAAGACGATGATTCCGATTCAAACACTATGAGCTCTGACTCGTCAGAAGAAGAAGAAGAAGAATTTGAGTGAAGATCTACTGTCATATATGTGAGTTGACCAGACTCAAGCTTATTACATCAAACAGTCAAAATTAACTCAAAGTTTACTTCATCAATGTTTCTGTCCTTTTCTTGTATGATGGTCTTGTGGTGTGACCTCATCCAATGGCTCTCTTTGACATTTTCTACTTGCCCTTTATTATTGTTTTCCCTGGTTATTGTTGTTTTCTCTTTCTTGCAATGGAATCGGTAGATTACATGATGATTGGATGCATTTTATATCACTCGCAAGTGAATAGATGTTATGTTGAGGAGACCAAAGACCACAAAGCAATTCAGTAGGGAATTGTATGGCAAAATCGGCAGTACAAGGTGATTGTGCCGTGTGATGTTTTTTGTTTGGAGTTGGCAAATAAGAAAGAAACGTCGTTTACTTTGTGTTTTTGTGATAAGTATTTACAATAGTTCACTTTTAGACACAATCCGGAGAGAAGTGCAAAGGTGGGATATGAGCCAAAGATTTGAGATTTGGTTAACCTTCAATCGTTCAGGTTAACATTCGATTGTTTGGTTTACTATGAACTGGGATGCCTTGAGAACTTGAGATTTGAAAAGTCCTTTTGAAATTGAGTCGATGAGATAGAGCTCGGAAGGAATGAGAGTGGTGAATGTGGAATAAGTTGCGTGAACTTCGAAAAGATGAGTAATTTGATTCTTTATGTGACTCACAGGTGTCATGCAAGAAGGCTCGAAGCGCTGACCAGTGCTCAGCAATGGGGTGTTGAAGGTGCGGTCTTAGTTTGTTGTGTTGGATGCTCGGAGATGGTGATGTTGAAGGGTAATGAGGCTTTACTCTGCCTTACGCAAGAAGTTGTAGTTGACTCAGAGCGCTCTGGGTATGAAAGTTCACTCAGCGCGCTCTGAAGAGACCTCAGAGCGCTCTGAGGTACTCTCAGAGCGTTTTTTTGCCCTGGACACCTTGCTGGTGGAGTTGTTATTTTTGAGGATGATGAAATGTTAATAAAGTTGAACTATGGCTATATATTGTCCAAATAATAGTTCTGTCATTGTTGAAAAGTGTTTAACTTGAGAGTTGAGGGGCAAAAAAAAGCGCTCCAGGGCCGCTGGAGAGCTCTGCTGCGAAGGTCTGGCTTGACTGTCGTCTATACAGTGCCATTTCCTAAGGGTATATGTGTCACTTTGCAGAGGCTACACAGGTGCCCTTTACTCAGAAGACAGTTGCCTTTTTTCACTCTTTCTTTTTCATTCTCTCGATCTTTAACAATGAAACCCTTCCATCAAGAATGCCTTCACTCGCCCTTGCCGCTGGTATTGTGGCTTTGGCTCTTGTAGCCATTTGATCTGCTGCAGGCCATTGTAAACTTGATTGAACTGCTTCCGAACTTTCGCCCGATGGAGGCTGTGACCAAACACAGAGTTGGGGTTTCCGAGTTGTAGGTCTCTATACTTTTGTTTTGACAAACATATATTTGTGATAGCGTTAATTGAATTCATTTCATCATCATCCTGCGGTTCACCCCACCTTGACTCACACCCTTTCTCAGATCCATACTGGCACAGATTTCAAAACTCACCCAAACTCGCACTAGCTCTCGACCGCGTTTCCAACAAAGCCAAACCTTTACCAACTGCCGGACCATTGGCTTCTCTGTGTCCTTCACACAACAAAAAATATCCCAAACTTGCGTCTCTCAACAAAGACCTGTTGATTAACAACCTGTTTGCTCACGGTATTGTTTCTTACGACACAGCTGCTCAAAAGTCACGACAACGCGCCATGCATACAACCACTGAGCTGCACGAGGTGGAACAGAGCATCACCGCTGCTCATTGGATGCTTTGCAATTTATTCACCAAAGGTAAAGAAAGGGAAAAAAATTATGTTAAACTGACCCCACGACCAACATTCATACCCTTACCTTCCTTACCACGAATCTTACCCGCTGTTTCTGACTCCCGCAACACTCTACTCTAACTCACTAATTATCAATACTGCTCAACTCCTTCTAAACCGTGACCTTTTTGCGTGTCCCAAGCGTTACTTCTCATCTTTGTTTCCAAACGTTTTCATGTCGGCGGTATACGTTTGTTTATCCCACCACGTTTATTACCACGCCATCAAGCTCATGTGCTAACTGCTATTTTCAGGCGAGCAATACTTCCCGACATCCGTGTATACACGGATGATCGGAGAGTTCCTTCCTCGGCTCGGGTATCAACCCGAGCTCGGAAGTCGGGTCTGTATGCGAGTGTATCTCGATAAACGGATACACCGATTTGCAAATACAAATGTGTTTGCAAATTGGTGTATTCATAGTTTCATTCACGAAACATGCGGCTAGAATATCGGCGTGCCATTTTAATAAGCTTAATGGGCTCGGGGGACCTATCTCATTCTAATCCTATGATGATGGACGCGTGCGAGGCAAAAAAAAATGTTTTTTTAGACATTTGGGCAATATTTCGAACCAAGCACATTTAAACACATCCTTAGGCTTACTATATGGGTACCAGAGGGTAATATATGGCTTTAAACTTGGTAAAAGTGGGTTCCCGAAGCGGAATCCAACCCCAGATAAGTCAAATCGCATGGTGAAAATGACTTTTTTCACTGATTTTCAAGGTCCTCAGAGGCCAAAATTTCGAACCCCCCCTACAGGGGGGTAGTTGGGCTTTGATGAGACCCACTGTATAATTTTTCCTTAACTTTACACAAGCCTTAATAGCACAAGTCGTCCCCTCACCCACCACCAGGACTTTTTCCCTGTCCGCTTTAAAATGTCTGGGCAACAGAATTTATCAAATTAATGTTTTTTCCCTACCATGGGCCACATTCAAGTAGTAAACAAGATAATGAAGTGATCACTGATAATAATCAACAAGATCATCTTGGTCAGAATGGATTTTGAAACAGGAGTTGAAACAGGAGTCAGTTACACTGCGGGAATCATTAAGTTTGAAACCCGATTGAGCAAAGTCGTGGTGTCTGGGTCCGCAACTTTCTTCAATTGCGGATCTTGTTTGCCATAGGTTTGCTATAGGTTTGCTAGCTTGCATCGAGCTGCCCTTGAGTTGTCCGCCTGAGCTGCAGTATGTCAACTACAACAGCGCATATGTACATATTTAATGAAGCTGATCATTATACCTTCCTTTATCCTTCTGTTATGCATGTTTTTCCTTTCAATATCCTCAGACCACTCAAGATCATGTATGAGTAATGAGCTTTATTATGTATATGTTACAAGAGTCTAGACATATGGTACCTCCATTAGTCCATACTACAGCCTGAGTGGATGACTATAGAGGGCAGCTTGAGACGAGCTTGCAAACCTATGGCAAACCTATGGCAAACAAGATCTGTGATTGAAGGAAGTCGCGGACCCGGACACCGCGACTTTGCTCAATCCGGTTTCACACTTAATGATTCCCGCGGTGTTATGTCCAAACCTATGTAGAAACTCAATCTACATTTCTCAACGATAGTTTTTGGAAATTAAGCGAAGCTTATAAACTGAGTTATTGAAAAGGTGCTTGACAAAAACCAATTGAGATGAGACACCAAAGTCAAGACAAAGGCTCCTGTATCAATGAGTTGAGCAAAAAAGAATTGAGGAACCACTGGTGTGAGGAACACAAGCTCAGAAGTGAACATAATGAGGATATACCCAACAAGCCTGTTTCGGATCATATTTAACTCGCCGTCTCTCTACAGACGCTTACCGCATTTAATTTCTACTTGGTCAAATGGGGATACCGTGAATAATAACGTCCCTTGTTTTTAATCAAAACAGGCAAGCACTTGGAAGTCTTCATGTAAACAGGAGATAAAAGCAAGCCTGCAGTCAAGACCGTGTGACTGCAGGAAGAGTGTTTGCGTCCAAGCATGCCTACCATTCGAGTTGGAAGTTCAAGTAACTTCATCGATTCCAGAAAACATCAGCAGAGTACTGTGGCAGATGTGTGTATGGTGACAGAAACAATTCCTCACTTTTTTTATTGATTATTAAAGATTCAAGAACCAAATTTTTGAAAAAAAGTAAAGAGAGATGGATTGGCTGTTGTAAACTCAGTCTCTAATATTTGTTTGGTATCTTGTTTTTTTTTCTTGCCCGTTATGTTGTAGAAATTCAAAAGTTGATGAGAGAAAGAACAGCTGCTATTTTGGTTGGTGCAACAATGTGAATACATACTACACCAATAATAGGATTAAATAGCAGTTTTTGACGTGATTTGTGCCAAACTCTGGATTAGTCAAGACTTGAGTGCAATTGACTCAAAGGCTTCAAGAATAGGTCCGCTATGGGATGGCCTGATATATTACAACAAGATGAGAGGGTGATGAGAGTGTGACAAAATTTATAAGCATTAAAAGATACATGATATCAAAGAATCATGAGAATCATGAGAATATCTTGAAGAGATTTTTTCAAAAACCTTTGAGGAAAGAATGAGATAGAGAGAATAGGCTTGCACAATGGAATAGCTATACAGGATAGATTCTAGGTACAGTCAAACTGAGTCAAAGTCAATAAAAAATGTCCGCTATGGGGGGGCGGACTTAAAAAAGGAATTAGCAGTCGATGTAGTTCACTTCTCACTCAGACACTCGGTAGTGTAGACATACACGGAGTGGTGCCGATGGGGGGCACGCACAAACGAGGCTTTGTATTGCTTTCGATAACTCTGAGTAATAGGAGGACTATACTTCGCAACACAATCACCCCTGTGGGGAGGCTCTGAGGCCTTACAACTGATACTGATAAAATTTATAAAAAATACTTCTATATATAAAAAACTTGTACCACTGAGAAAACTTTTTCTTAACATTTGAAAATATTTGAACTAAGAAACTAAACAACTAGACTACCTGAGAGAAGACATACACAAGGAAAAAATAAAAAAATCCCACTCTAAGTAATTTTTTATATTTATTGAATTCATTTGACAAATATCAAGAAATTAGATAAAATTTTAAAGAAACTTCTTGTTTTAAAACAAACCCTGATATATACTTTTGACTCTCTGTTTCTTTTTTTTACTTTTCTAGGTGAGGGTGGGTGGGACGACGAAAACAGGACAATTGACAGAACAGAAGGAATCAGGCTGAGACCTATGGGCTATTGGTGACTGAAATTGATCTAGTAAAAAACGGGGTGGGAGATTTTTCCACCCTTTTCTTTCCACCCGTTTTGTGGTGTAAAAACCCAAGGGGTGGAAAATTGCATACCCTGGGGGGTCATATGCAATTGTCCACCTTTTTTCCATTTTTTCTTGCAAGGGGAAAACAAGAGGTGGAAAAACTAGGGTGGAAAATTGGATCTCAAAGCCAGCAATATCACATTTTCCACCCAGATTCTTTCCACCAGATAGTGAGTGTCAAAATATTTGTGCGTAAAATTCCATATGAGCCACCTCAGATCAAATTTTACACCCATTTGTTTCCACCAATTTCAAAAATAACACCTTTGCTTTACACCCAAAGGGAAAAGCTGAGTGTACAATTGAACTTTCATGGTTGATAATCCATTTCAAAGGACGGGTTGCTTTAAACTTGTCCTTGTGATTCTACTCATTTTCAAGGGGCAAAAAATAAGTAGGAAGTAACTTGCTGTTCCATTTCCTTGGGAGATGAGAGCTGCTTATATATGCGAGCATCTCCAGGTGAAGTACAAATAAGGAAACAACAATGTGAGTGGTACAACATGAGGCGATTGGTGATCGCCAAGATACAAGATATGTAGGTGAGAGGTTTAGCCAAATCCAGTACTGCTGGATTTGGGCTACAATTAGTGATGCAAAAGGAACGGTACATGATCAGGACGGATCTGGCAAGATCCGTTTACAATTAAAGTAAAGAGAAATAAGAATAGAAAATAAGTAAAGATGAAAAGCACGAAAAGTAAAGTAACGTGCTAAAGCGCGTACAATAAGAACAAAGGGAAAGTCCGAATCAGGGGAATCACATCCTTTGATGCTTTTTCAAAAGCACAAGGTGCTTTTCCTTGAAGCACTATATAATGGGTTACAAGATTTTTACACTCAACCCTTAGGGTACTCAAAGTAAAGTATGTAGCACTACATACTTTTTGCTACATACTTTTTTTGGCGGGGATAAAGAAAAAAATATACTTTTGGCCTCGTCTTCCCCGCCAAAAAAAGTATATAGCAAAAAGTATGTACACGTACATACTTACTTTGACTACCCTTAATGAGTGTAAAAGTGTAGATTACATGAGTGTAAATGCATTTTTACACTCAATCCGGCCAAATTCCTGGAGTGCAAAGATTTTGTATGTAAATGGTTGAACTTGTGTGTAAAAGTGTAGGGTGGCTCCATCTACCTACAATTTTACACTCATTATTTTTACACTCAATATGTAGTGTAAAAAAATACAGTGTAAAAATTGTTACCCTAAATGTCTAATTTTACACTCAATGACTCTTACACTCAATATGGAGTGTAAAGTTGAGGAGTGCAAATATGTAAGCACATGTGCCATGCTTATAATTTTACACTCATCAAAGCAACTTTGTGACACCGTGTCCGTGTAGGGTTTGCTCATCAACAAGTGCACACCGACTCCCTTTGAGGCAGAAAGGGAAGTCGTGTGCGCTTGTCAACAAGCAAACACTACCCGGACACGGTGGTGACTTAGTGGAAAAACTGCATGTATCTGCAATTTATATCAAAGTCTCTCAAATGTGTCTGTCTCCTCACACATATTTGGAATTGGTCTCAAATTCTCTCAAATGTGTTTGTCTCCTCAGTGCAAGGAAGGTATTTATCCACCGCAGGTATTTAAGTATATAAGTCACACCGCGGGAATCAACAGGTTCAAGACCCGATTGAAGAAAGTTGCGGTGACGGGGTTCGCAACTTTCTTCAATCACAGATCTCGTTCGCATTACGTTCACATTACGTTCGCTAATTACCTCCCTTGTCCTCTTTGAGTTTTAGCCCGTTTTAGCCCGTTTTGTTTGAAACACTCCATCCTGATCGCGGTATTCATTTTTCTACTGAATATCAAGGAGCCCATTGTGGTGATGAA